TTAATTGCAACAATTAATCAAGATAATTTTTGATTACATTTATATAATGTGACGACGTGGGATAAGCGACTTTCTTTACTTCCTGCCCGTTCGAGTTGCGAAGAACGACAGAGCGAATTACAGCGCGAAGAACGCCGAAGTCGCACAAATTTCTCTCTTTTCCCGAAAATGGAACAGATTACACGAAATATAGATAATTAAATATAGATAATTAAAAGCGCGTTGCGTAAACGAGATGTAACCGCGACAAAGTACCACGGTTTACATTCATATTTTAGATGAGTTAGTCTCGTGAAATATCTATGTGTACGTTGATAAAGAGCCGTCGTCTCGACATAAAATTCGTTTCTCATTACAAGTTGTAGAAAATTAATAATTAATCGAGGAACGTTATTTGTTACTGATAAAGGTGTGCAAATCAATAGCGATTTATCCCTGCATTCATCGCGATCGAGTCTTCGAAACCGATAACGCAAAAATAATAACACGCACGGAGCGACTCTCGCCACTGCTTGCCGGGTCGACGTTCGGCGAGCGAATGATAGCGTGGCGACCTTCAGGTAAACCATTGGCCCGCGTAACGTCGTACGATACACCGAGTGAAAAACAACAAAAAAACGTTGAGAATTCGTTGTCCCGCCTACGTAGTGGAAAATTCCGTACTTAATATTTTACATTACTTTGTTCCGTGGCTGTTACTACGTTTTGTCTATTATTCTGCGGACTTATTGGTATTGATTAAATTAACGATTAATTCTGTTCAATAGAGAAAGTGTATCGGAACAAAAATCGTTGTTACTTAAATTCTAATTACTAAGATTAGAGATTTCACCTCAATAGTCGGTGTATACAAATGTATATTTCTAAATTGCAAATCTTCATTTACTATTTATCCAAAAGAGAAGTGAAACACACCGCGCTTCGAGAAAACTAATCGGCATCGCGGAAAAGAGGCCTCAACTGTTCGATATTAACGACTTCGCGCTATTAACATCTCTTTTTTAAAAAGGGAATCGTAAATAAAGGTATTGCAAGAGCAATTAGTCCGCAACGAGTGGACATTATTTTATGGAATTAATTAGCGCGGATAAATTACTGAATATCTCTCTTTAAACTTTGTCGGGCTTTTACAGTGACTGTTCTCTCTCTTTCTCTCTCTGAGAAACGGGGAATCTCTCGCTTGCTCCGTCGAACTTTTTAAAAAGAATCACTTTCTATTGTCTTAATATTTCTCTTTTGCAATTACTTTTTATGGGCGTACAAGAATTTCTCCGTTTTATTATCCCTAACAAATGCTTCCGGGTTTCTCCTGGTGTTCTCTCCTGCCGCGCGTTTTAGTACACAATAAATGTGCACATATAAATATAGTATACACTTGCCGCGTAAACCTTGATTCAGCGCCCAGATGACAACGCGGCCAAGAACTCAGCTGCTCGGCAATGACAACAAATTCTAACAATACGACTCTCTTACGCGACGTATGCGCCGTCAGGTTTGCATTATGCAGCCCCGAGCACTCCATGTTGCACAATTGCGCTCTCTTTCTCTCTCTCTCTCTCTCTGTCTTTCTAACAGCATGTAATTATAGTTCTGCATTAGACGAAATAATGCGCGACTCGAGGGAACGCTTTGTTTGAAGCCGACGCTGCTCGATTACCCCGCTGGTTAATTGGCTTCGTAGTAGTTTTGCGCATCGCTGGAATACCGTGGAAACAACGGCCAATAAAGCATCGCGTGTTAATTCCGCATTATTGTCGCGATTACGTTGCATCAATCATCGTGCGAACAAACGCTACGAGCATGATTTTTTTATACGTTAATTAGAAATTACAGACGCGTTTAACTTTTACTATTCGCGGCTGCGCGCCAGGGACACGAGGTGTCCGAGACAGGATCGCGGTCAGTTTCGTAAAGAAATTTTACGGAATTTAGACGCAATTTAGACGGGCGTCGGAAATTTTGCACGCTTGCTGTACGGACGCGCGCCAAGCTCATCGTCGGCGGATATAAGGATGATTGTGCGGGATGAATCGCGTTTCGAATTACACAGATCGATCGAGTTGAACGGCTACTTAACATTTTCTTGCGCCGTGCGGTCACCATTTGCCACCACCCCCGCGTTTTCTGAATGCCATCGCCAATTGTCTTAATGATACACGGCTTACTCACGCGATTAGTTTAACAAGACGAAAAGGGAACACGTACTACTTCGCGGATATTGACGGTTAGTAACGCGAGAAGTATTCATACTTGGAATTTCTTTTTCAATCGCTTATCAACCCGTGTTTTATTCGCAAAGATTATTCGAGATCTGAGAGTGATAAACATAGGAAGAAGAGATGAAAAAACAAGCACTTTGTTCAGACCAATTTAGAATGTACAGTAAAATGAAATAGGTTCCAAAGGTATCAAAATTTTCCCAAGCATACACTGACGAAAAGTTTTTTAATTGTAAGTAAGTAGATTTACTTAAAATTAATTTTTTTACTGAAGTAAATCTATGTATTATGTTAAGTAAATTAATTTAAATCGTTACATTTTCTACATTGTTAAACAGACAATAAGTATAAAAATATTGTGCAAATAACTGAAAATATATTCACGATGAAAAGAGAAATGAGCTGAATAGGAAAAGTAATTAAAATAAGAAGAAAGTAAAGATAGGCGATTGAACCGAAGCGAAAAAAAGCGATGTAGTTGCGAAACAAATATGTAAAAGAATTCATCGTTGCTCGTTCATTTGGCAATTGAGGAATATTAGTCCACATTGAAAGAAACGACATGGAAAAGGGTAATTGGGAAATTAGCGGGAAGAAATTAAATCGTAGAGATTAATCGTAGGTTAAGGCCAGAATGAAATCATCGTCTTCGGAGCGGTCGTCGCGGTTAGGTGATTCCCCCTTCGTTATGCATCGCGTGCACCGCAAGGAAGTCCCGTTGAAACCGTACTTTCCTTTTCCTACCGGGAAAACGCCATTTCCGATTACACGTTTCAGGAAAGGTACGATCGAAAGAGCGTGAAAGGCAAAAATCTATTCGCTACCGCAGAAACCGCGCCGCATCGTTTCGCATCTCTTCTGTCGGAGATCATATAGATCATCCGAATAACTTAACATTTTTACGTAGGCATATCTATGTGCGCTTACGTACGTCACGAAATGTCGATGCCGAAAAATATTTTCAGCGCCTTGGAGTCGTATTGGTCTAACTGACAATAATTATACATTTATCCATGATGTAAAAATACAAGGTGAAACATTGCGCGTATAACCAATTTTTGGAACAATTTGTTCATTGGTTCTTGCCGCATTCAACCGTGATGATTTGCAGTTTAAAGGTTTGGGGCATAGACATAGCAAATATAGACTGAGCGTCCAGAGAGAGAGAGAGAGAAGATTTAAGAAGACTTTCTTTCTCTGTCTACACCATCGTTAAAGAAAAGAATCGTGCCTGCGCCTTCTTTGTCACGATGGTAAGACAGAGAAAGAAAGTCTTCTTAAATGTTCTCTGTCTCTCTCTCTCTTCACAAGGTTCAGCTTATTCAATGAAACGCTCAGTCTATATTTATTATCATTATCTAAAGTGTTTTTTGTCGGCCCAACTGGCAGGAAACTTTATTCGTGGATCTTACATCCACGAAGTTTTGACCATCCGGATTGTGGTCCTTATCAAGTGATTGGTAATAGTTAAAATTCTTATTGCGAAAAACATTACCCCAGCCAGGATTCGAACCTGGGACCTCCCTCAATCCGTGCGGGCGTCTTAGCCAGCTCGACTATATTTATTATGTCTATGGTTTGGGGCAAATTTCTGGTCAGTCACGAGTGCGCATCCATGGGAATGTTACACCTGGTATTCTTGCCTCATGCATTTATCGTATAATTTGACTACCCACGTATTCTCTGACAGCCGCAACGTTTCCGTCACTGCCTCGTTAACCTTCGTCTCGCAGCATCCAAAAATGATATCGGCTCAGACTTTTTAATCCGTCAATCTCGAAGCATTTACTTCTTTGGTTAACAGAAGGCAGATAATTCGAGAAGATCGCTGAAGATAGCTCATCCGATGAAATTTATCCGACGAAACGCAGTCACCGATGAAATTTTATTGGAAAACCGATCACATTTTTCATCAATATATCCGTTTGTGTTATGTAATTGGATTATCCAATTATATTTAATCGGACATTTTTCTCCGTGTACCCAACATCGTTATATTATACTTAAATTTTCGAGAGTCCACTGATCATTATATAATTATTTTTTTTATTCTTTAAAAAGTATCGAGTTGTATTGAAACGTTGCATGGTATTTTGGATTTTTTAACGGGTCAGTTTTTCGAGTATTTCAGCTGATGCCTCAAAACGAGTTTCGCTCCTTATCAACTTTTTGAAAGTGTTTCGCAGTGGACCGTCGTAAAAAGAATTGTGACGCAAAGGCCAAGAGGTGAATTGGAAACAAGCCTGAATAAGGAATAAGTTATTTTGTAAGTCGCGCAGAAAGGAATTGAGAAATTTCGCAGTGACGTCAAAGAGGTACATATTCCAGACAAAATCGTACTTATCGGTCATTTTTTTAGATAAAATTATTTTGAAATTTAAATCCACGTTGACATGACAATATCAATATCTCGATTTGATATCCATTTGATTTTCCTCAAATTGGAGTTTCCGTCCGCAATCTCTTCTCATAATTTTAAATTTAAACATAATTCGTCGGTAGATAACAATCTGCACTGTTTGTCACGAAAGACAACAAATTATATTCCTTTATTAATTGCAGAAATAATTTTTCTATTCACATAAATCGTCCTTTCAAATAGATACATTCATAGTCTTTCATTTGCCCAAGATCTGCTTGTATAAATATTGAAATCTTCCTTTCAGAAGTTTCTTAAATTCTCCAAATCCAGGTCTCAACTGGAAAGTCAATCGTACAAAAGAATCTCTCGTTTGTATGAAATTCATCTTGAAGCGGGGATTGTCGCAGCTGCAATTTTATCGGCGACATGTTTCCGGAAGTAAGTCCTACGAGAGCGCGGTAGATTTTTTATTTATCAAAACGGCGTGCACGTACGTATACATTTCACGCGCGGACACGTCCACGCTGGTTGTGCATTCGCCACTTTTAACCGTGATATCCCTACTTCTCTGCTGTCCGCCAGCCAGCCGGTAGAATTACTAGAACGGATACCTATCTACGTGAGGCTCGACCGGCCCGAGAGCTCAGCTTGCGACAGTTGTCGCTCGGTCGCTCTCACGGAGCCATCTCGGCTTCGCCGCAAACCGGTTCCGTAGGGTCTCTAATAAAAGGATCTTAAAGGACGACGTTATCACAAAGGACTCTGAAAACTATCTTCAAGAAACCACCAACATTTAACGCACCACAGTCAAAGAACTCTCAGTAACTTGCGAGGAGCCGTCGACACGGAATCAGGAGCAATTTGTTAATTAAGTTGGACGTTAATCGCAAGATTTCGAGGTGAGTCGAGACCCGTGTTTCATTTTATGTTAATTTTTTAATTTTATGTATGTTTATTTTTTTTATTTACATACTTGTATTTGTAATTTATTTAATTAAGTTTGACGTTGATCGCAAGATTTCGGGGTGAGTCGAGATTCATGTTTAATTTTATTTATATTCCTTATTTTTTTACCTCCTATTTTATTTTATGTGTGTTTATTATTGTTTTATTTATAATTTATTTTGTTTATCGTCCAGTTGTTGAATTTAGCCGCAGGCCAAGTCTCTGTGATAATAAAAATATATATAGGAGATGGATTGCTTTATAAAAGTAAAAACTTGATGCACGCTGAAGTCTGTCGATATTTTAAACATGCATATAAGACGGCAAAATCTGACGGAAAAGCTCTAGGCACTAATGATAACAAACGTGTAAGACGAGTTCTGAGACGGAGGAGTGGATCGAGATCATAGTTTCGAATCGTCTTGAAAGCCCGCAGCGCAAAACGCGCTACGTTAGACGCGGAATGAAACGTTTGCGATTCGAATGAAACTAGCATTTAACGCGTGCCTATGCCAATCATGGTCTCATCTAGTAAATACGTGACGTTTGTACTAACATCTCAGCTGTTTTCGCTATTTTATCGTGCTATTTTAGCGTCGTATCTTACGAAAGTCACGTACTATGTTTTCCCAATGTTTCTGGTATCTCCATCGATAAATACATGTGACGCGATACCCGACATTTCGGAATAGTTTGTACTTTTGAGAGGAAAATTCACCAATTGGTGTTACTAGAAAAAACTTTAGTGTTACATAAATTATATAATATTCCTTGCAAAAGATTATTTTATTGAATAAATAAGTAAATGTATTCACTCTCGATCAGTCACGTGATTATTGTAATGGAAATTTGAAATATATTTTCAATCAATTTTAATAATAAACAAATTTTAATAAAAAAAAACAAACGATAAACAAAATTAATTATGTAAAGAATTACTTAACGCCAGTAGTTGATCAACCAATGTAGAAAATTGCATGACGACCAATGGCTGGCAAACTCTAATTAAAGAAACTCATTGCGAAAAACATTACCTCAGCCAGGGCTGTAATTAGTAAAAAAATAAATTATAAATACAAATATATAAATAAAAAAATAATAAAGACACATAAAATAAAATAGGAGGTAAAGCAATAAGAAATATAAATAAAATTAAACATGAATCTCGACTCACATCGAAATCTTGCGATCAGCGTCCAACTTAATTAAATAAATTACAAATACAAGTGTATAAATAAAAGAAATAACAAACATACATAAAATGTTCACACAATCAAACCTACTTTTGAATGCGTGAACAATTGGATTTATACATATAATTAGGGAGTAAATTAAAATTACAATATAAATTCGACTAAGAACTGTAACCACGTGAATAAAGATAGGAAACGGAGGTATAAATAAAAACTTATATAATGAAATGATATAAATACAAAGATGTATATGTATGTACATCTAACGGGGAAGACGATAATGATTGAAGATTAAAGCTGAATCCGCCGTGGGCATCAATTAAAACTAATGTATTTATTTACTTTAATATAACTTTAATTTTAAAAAATCCTGGATTGCAAGATGAAATTGAACAAATTTAATTTAAATCACACGAAGCTTTCGCCAATCGATGAAAAAGCTATATTGGCTTCAGACAAAAGTGGAACGAGTGGATTGCCGATCGAACGTGGCCGATCGTCGATCGATCCTTTAAAGGGATCGAAAAGAAGCCGTACGGTGTCCACGGAGAAACAAGACGGAAAAATTAAGTGGTAGGGAAAAATCCTGAGAGACCATATACGGATAACGATCTCTCTAACGGTCACCGATAAATCACTGAAGATCTAACGGGTGATTTATGCCTCCGAATCGACCGGTCTTCGCTTTCGTAGAACGATCAGCAGCGGCTGCAGAAGAACGAACCCGTAGTGGATTCTCAGATGAGGCAGAACACGGAGGGGGTTTTATTGCCGCCAGGTGGAAGGCGATATCGGTACAGTAGTACGGACGAAGGACGACCCTGTTTTTTTTGTTCGCCATCGGATGTGTGAAGCGAAGCGTGTGAAAAGGGAGCCAGAAAGGGCGGTATGGGGAAAAACTCGCGAACAGAAAAATCGGAGGAACGCGCACCTGGAGACCTTCGAGGTTTCGTCGTCTATTTATAGTACGTGCATGCTGCACACCGTTTCTGATACCTATAGCACGATGGTTTGGTTGCTGACAGATGATTGGAATAATGGAAACTGGGATTGCGGTCGTGTGAAAGAAGCGAGAGCTAGGTATTCGAATTTTTCCGCTGTCACAGTCGAGTTGGAAAACACACTTACATGATTTTTTTAATAAACAATTATAATTACATCCTAATCAAGCGGATAAATTGAATTAAAACCCCGTATAGATATTTGAAAAAAGTGTTAAATTTCATGTTTAATAAAATAAAAATTGTATTATCGTGTGCCACGTTACACGATAAAGTAAATAGCAATGAACAATAATATACGATAAAATAATAATACAGCATGTGCTGACATTATGTAGGGATTGCGACGAATTGCGACATGCAAACGAGAGCACGCTTTGTAAAGGCCTGTGTCCGCGATGCTAGAACCTGGTCCAAGTTCGAGTTCCGAGAAATGTGTAGCCAATCAACTTGCAGCTATTCCACAAAAGCTGCAAGTTGGACAGCTGCACTTCGACCAAGATCTAGCATCGTGGACACAGGCCTAAGACTCTCGGAACTAGACAGCACACCCTCAGAAAGGATCTCTCTTACTGAGATCAAAAATATTCTTGACGCATTTATATTTCTCGCAATCTCATTTAGTATAAAAATAAGACAATGTCAAAATAAAATCAATAATTCTTATTTCCCTCTATCGAATTAAAAAATATTAACTCACTATATTGAGACAAGAGTAACTTATATAAATGTAAGTTTATACATTCTTTAGAATAAATTTTCCCTCCGTCTTACAACGCACGAAGGTGGCACCGCGATATTCGACAAAAGACGATGCATCCTATAATTTTATTCTAGAGTTTAGAATTTTTTATTTAAGATTAAAATATTCCTTTCTCTTCAATAAATATGAGTGGCGCTATATCGATCCTATTTTATGATACATTCAAGTGTAATAGCATTGGATCCGGAAATTTTTTCTGTGAGTGCACGGCGGGGGATATTCAGGAAAATTTTCCGAGCGATTATTCGCGGAGAGACTCGCATTTCGATAAAGCGTCCACAACGTTTAACGCATAAAGACTCACCGGTACAAATATTAAATGACTGTTCAGTCTATTAGCGCGCAATTCGCCGATAACAGCATGGACTTGTGTTGGCGATATGACTAAAGCTCACGGGAAAAACGTATTTGCGAAAGCGTAATCTTCATGATCGTACAGTAATGAAATAATTGGGAGGAAAGAGTAAATAAACGATGGGAAATAAAGATCCGACTCGAATTTCATAGAAATCCCCACAAAGAAACTGTCGCACGCCTCTATATTAACGTGCGAACGTTTAAGCGCACTTTTACAAGCTGGTGAAATTGTGGGCCAGGCGGAATTCATTAATTCAGCTAATGATGCCACGCGGACAAAATGCAAAAATAGCGACAGAGAATCACACGAAACGTTAGAAAATATAATAAACGAAGGTATGTCGATGCTCGAAAATTTTAGCTCAGAAAAGAGGCGGATTTGAGGTCTGTTAAAGAATTTTGTACTTCCGAAATATTAAATTCCGGAACATCTTGTACATAGAAAACCGCATATTAATTATCTCAATATTAATAAATTGAAAATCGGTTAAGATAAACGGATTATAAATACTTAAAATAATGAACTAATATTAAAGAATATACGTTGTGTTATGAAATGACTTCTCGGCATTTACGTTCCTACATTCGCGAAGATCGCGATCGACGTATGTGTATAAACGCATTGGTTCCTTTCGGACTCACCGGACTTCGTAACGGCGCGATTTAGCAAATCGGCCGTGTAAGCGACAAATAGTTTTATGACAGAGTCAAGCGGACGCGAAGGAGGAACAATCTCGGACTGTGACATCATCTGTAAGATCGGATCATCTAGGCTCACGACTTTAGTAATGACGACTATGTAATTGCGTAATCTGCGTAGCAGATGGCAATTTTTGGAAGGGAAGTCAGTTGTCTCTGACGGTGATTTGTTGCTTGAAACTTTTATCGGCAAAAGAAATTGCATGTTGCGTGAAACGTAGTAATAAATCGTGAAAAAACAATTAAGCTCTGAAATGAAAAGAAATTTTTTTAATAGTAGGTAAATCCACAATTTTTCAAGGTAAAAATTGTCAATTACATATTCGACGTAAAGTTTCTCATTTTTCTCTAGAAGCTATTTAGATTCTTTCTAAAATTAGAATATAAATAAGAGACAATTGTAAATTATAGAATTGTAATACGCGGACATTTGAATATGTAAGCTTTTGTTTTGGTCAGGAAAAAAACACGGCTGTTTTTAATTACAGCGCGTAGGACGATTAGGCGCGATTAGGTAATTCGAATCGGTCGTTCGAGATGAGGATGTCATGATCAGCGTGCGTAATACAGTCAGCCGAAGCTTTGCGTCGCGGCTGTGCTCGTAAAACACTACGTCCTCGATCTAGATCTACTCCGTCGATCCAACTGTCTATCGACGGAGTCGCTAAACATCGCTAAAGAGTGTTAAAGTTTGAAAGGGGAGTCCATTCTAAATTTCAAAGGCTTAAAACTCCTCTCGTTCATTCATATTACATAAAGACGATAGCGATCTAAGTATCTTTGGTGTCTTGGAAAAATGTCGCTTAAATAATGATCCTACATTTTAAAATCTCAACAGAAAATCGCCCGTGTCTATTGCGATTCAAGGGAACCATATATGACGTCAATTTTATAATTTTGAAATAACACCACATCTTTCTCTAAAGTTCTCTAAAGTATAAAAATTTTTTGTTATTTCGAGATAAACATTTTTACTCTTCGTTCGGATTACGCGTATCTTTTTTATATGAATATTCCCCCTTTTTTCCTAATCCTTCCCCCTCCCCCCTTTTCAAGTTTTCAATTTTAGTGTTTACTTATTTTTAACTTATACTTTTTAGATGGTGAATCTGAAGAGCGCTCTAGGTACCAACGAGCTCACCGACAGGGAGGTCGGTCTCCCTCGCGCCCTTCTGGCGGAATTTCTCGGCACCATATTTCTCAACTTCTTTGGCTGCGGTGCTGTGGTAACCGAGAATGTCTTAACTGTCAGCCTGGCCTTTGGCCTGGTGGTGGCGGGCGTAATTCAGGGGATAGGTCATATTTCCGGAGGTCACATCAATCCGGCGGTTACCTGCGGTCTCGTCGTCATTGGCAAGGTAGTGTGACAGTTTTGTATTGACATTTTATAAAAATTTTCGGTATTCTCAATTTGCCTTACTTGCAAATTCTCGAGACTTCTGTCCTATCTAATCTTCTATATAAAATCGCTTTCAATCCGGTATTCATATACGTATATCATATGTAAACCGAGAATCGTTTGTTATCCCGCAAATGAAATCCATCCTGGAATAGCCCGAAAGAGAATTCGATATCCCTTAATGAAAATCAATCGTCTTCGCGTCTACAAGGCCAGTATTCATAGTCAGATCTTATATTCGAGACTATCTCAAGATCATCTTTAGATACTCCGTAGCCAATAAAAGGTTCCGTACAGCATCTTTAGATAAATTCAAGACAATCTTTAATATAAGATCCGACTATAAATACCGGCTTGAGAGATAGAGCTACCTGGAAATAAATCTTTAACATACATTTCAAATCAATTAAACAATTAACTTCCAATATTAATTTTCCTATCATCACACGGAATAGATGATTCTAGTAATTAAAAATCGATTGAATACTACTGAATTAATTATGCAGTTTATCCGATCAATTTGATATTCTCCTTCGATATACTCTCCGATTAATTGAACTCAGCTCATCTTCTGTTCTCGCCCAAACATTTCCTGCCGGCTAATTACAAGATTCTGATTCTTGGTCGCAGGTACCAATTATCAGGGGTGTTTTGTACATTGTGGCGCAATGCGCGGGCGCCATCGCGGGTTCGTCGATCCTGAGGGCCCTTTCGCCCAACAGGATGGATATGTTCATGGGCGAGGTGAAACTCTCCGAAGGGGTGACTCCGGTGCAAGGGTTCGGCGTGGAGTTCTTCCTCGCGTTGATCTTAGTGTTGGTAGTTTGCGGAGCGTGCGACGCCGCTAAACCGGACAGCAAGGGCCTCGCGCCCCTCATAATCGGCCTGACGGTCACCGTCTGCCATATCGTCGGCGTAAGTACATCGATTCTGATCACAAAGACAAGCTCCTACTCATTTTATTTTAAACCGATTATACAATTTTAATTTAATTCGATTATCCTAATATAATGTTTATTTCATATTTTAGAATTTTTTGTTTCTTTAAATGAAAAATTGATTCTTGTAATTGTTTGAAAAAATCCTTAAGAAATTATAGAAATTCAAGAGTAAATTGTTATATTTTCATTTCATTTTGTCTTTGTAACAAATTCGTTAATAATCAGATATTGCGAACGGGTGCGGGAATGAATCCGGCGCGTTCGCTGGGCAGCGCCGTGGTGATGACCGCTTTCGACGACCACTGGGTGTACTGGGTGGGCCCAATTATGGGTGGTATCGCTGGTGCGCTCATCTACGTGCATGCAATCGGACCCGCCAAGCAACCGGAAATACCCACTAGAACTTACGCCTCTGTCGCCACCGAAGAAAAGGAGGTATATTATACCACAAGAATGTGATATCATTTTCAGACTGGAAAACATCTCGCGATGACGAGATCGCATAATCGATTTCATCTTATTCTCAATATTCGATAAATTTATTAAGTTTTAATAATTGATTTATAATTCTTAACTTTTGTTACATGTATTTTTCAATTTTCTTAAACTTGCTAAATAATTGATGAAGAAACTATATAATTATTGAGTTCCTTGATATTTTTAAGAATTCATTTAACTTTTGGTAAACTCTTAATTCAATTCTTATTCAAATATCTCAAATTTCTCAATAAATGAATTAAGTACCTGGTAGATTAAATATTAAGCTTTCAAGTATTTGTTTTAAATCGCTAGTGTCTGAAGGTGGCTTAGCTAAAGATATAGTTTTTAGGTATAATGTAAGTCTGGCATCTTCCTATGCTTTAACAAATGTTTAATCCGCATGAAAGTCGCTGCACTGAAGTACACGCATTAACTTTCTATTTATAAATAATATCATTAGCTAGAACTTCAACAGTTTTTCCTGACGATGGGACTTCGTTTCGGAAGCACTTATCTGATTCTTATAAAGCGCACTTGATAAAAACGTCAATTCACGCATGCTAATAATGCAGTAAAATGAGATTGTGTAAGGGAAAAAAATCTTTCGTTTGAAGTAGCTTTTCGTATACTAATTTTCCCATAATCTTCGCAGCATTAAAATAGAGTCAAAAAGAAAAGCAATGAAAAATTACTCAAGAAAGGACGGAATACTAAAGACGCACTTGCTTCTTTAAGTTGCTCTCTCTTCTACGATTATTTCACGCTCCTCTTTTATTCCTCACAAAAATCTCGCGACTGTTTTGCACCGAAACTAAGCGCACCATTTCTCCCGGGACAAGACTTTCACTCCATGTCCACGATCATCTCTGTTCCACAGAGGTTCGAGTACATTGACAGCGGACGTGGCGGACTTTAAGCGATACGAAGATGCCCAGACGTACAAGAGCGATCTAGCGATTCGCCCGTAAAATAGAATTTCCGCATAAAAGTAAAAAGGCAATAGAACATGAAAACATCCTTCTTTTACAGCTCCAGAATCTTACCAGCAAGACAAACATCAATCCTGCTTGATGCTTTAACCAACTCTAACCATCTTTCTCTGCCAACTCGCCAATCGTCTTATATTGTATAATATGATAAGATCTTACAATTAGACTTTTATATAAAGAGAACTGTGTGTGTTTCTACAAAACTGAAGTTTATGAAATTACTTATTCACGGAGTAGTCTTAGAAAAACGCGATTGTGACGACGTCGGTTTTTATTAATCGTTGAGGATGTAAGACTAGGGGCGCAATCATTCGCATTTCAATTAGCCGACTTCAAAATGAAATGTACAATTTTTTCCACAATCGGATACACAATTTTAAAGAGTTCAGAAAAGTATTGAAAAATACCTTTAATACCAAACAATTTCAGATGTTAGTCTCAAAGAGAATTAAATTGACAGACGGATTTCTCAAGAGAAATCTGGGCTTTAAGATACAGCAAAATGTTAAGTCATTGAGAATCTTTCGCCACAATTTTCTGCCAATTCCTAGCAATATTTGTCATTGTAAATTGAACTTTTAAATACTTGATACGTTCTGATATAGATCGTCTTGTAATCGTGAAAGATAAGAAAGCCAAAGAGATCTTTCGTCACGAAATAATCTACGTTGCCGACATCTCATGCCACACATTGGGTAACGCATATAGTCAGCCGTTTATCGCACAAGATGCATTTTGATAATGCCTTTGGTAATCAATCGACTCGACATTCGGCTAAATTTTTTCGCACTTCAATCAGCAACACTGGAAAAATCACGCAACCTGCTTAAATGCCATACGTAAAATAATTTTGGCATTTAACAACATTACGACGTGTAGTTACATTTTAGTGAGTGCATATCTGTTAACTTATCATTCTACATATATGTGAAAAGCATCTTATTGTCAACTTTTAATAATTTATCCTTATTTTGTTACTAATTAAGATTAAGCGCGATGTAATACATTTTAGGATAAACAACTTTTAATAAATAACAAGCAAAAGATTCGATCACAGTGAAATTATCCATCTTTTTATGGATCATTAAAAACGTTTTTGCTTAGTTATCTGTACGTTTCGTTAATTTATGAGTTTGCGTGACTTTTCGATTAAATTAACGCTAATGCATGCTCGTAATTACTTCGCGTAAGTTAACACAGGTGATTGTGTCTAGACATTTGTTTTAATCGGATCATTGCAGATACTCTCTGAAGTTCTCGACATATTCACACATGCGCGAAAGTTTATTTAAAAACTCTGAAAGACATTCGACTAAACGCCACTAATTCCTTAAAAGCGTGTCGCAATAAACCGACTGATTTTCAAGCCCTGATCACGAATTCCAACTCATATACATCTCACCTTGGCAACAAAATGCATTTCTCCACAAATAGAATCAATAGGACAATATTTACATATCAATAGATCATCAGAGAGTACACATGTATTACTACCATTAATGTGAGTTATGTTGTACGGAATAAAATGTTTACGTTTTTATACGAACTTCTCGGATTATTATTCTCTTCTAAAGTTTATTCCGGACCTTTTTAAGATGTAACTCAATACAAATGTGAACGCCATTTAGGTCCTGGCCAGCTGGAGGTAGCCAATTAAGCCCGTCACGGGAGGTCCCAGGTTCGAATCCTGGCTGAGGTAATATTTTTCGCAATAAGAATTTTAATTTCAATACGGGGAGGGAGTTTGTTGTAATAAACGCTAAGTATAGCATTTTAAAATAATTGGAAAAGTCGTCCCGCGATTTTGTAACACGTGAATTTACCGAATTCAACGAAAACCTGTGTTAATCGTCCGGAAGTAACGGCGCGCAGGACAGGGTGGAAAAAATTCGGTATATGAATTCACATATTATTCTCTTGCTAATAATAAACTGTCGTCATAATTGTTATGTGGCGAAAGTGGCGCAAGATGTGCGCTGCTCAGTAAACAAATCGACCGAGTTCATATCCAACGCAGAACACTGCTAGTTTTTGTCCAAACGCCACTTCTCCAAGAAAAATGGCAACCGTCAGGGAGTAACCCATATACACCCCTTTGGCGTCTGACCATCCAGGTTGAGGATTGGGCAGTAGGCTGACAATTTACTCCCAGAGAAATCCCGTCCCGGAACCAATCAGAGCTTGTGCTTTGGAAGCAAAAGCTAGAGACCGAGTCCGACTTGGACACTGTCCAAGCGTCATTAGGTAAATAGATAGATGATCGTTACATTGTATAAATGTAATATATAATTATGCACTCGCGAAAAAATGAAAATATCTCATTATATATGTCTCAATCGTGTAATATCTAATTATATCCAAGTCTAAAATCACCAAACCTTCAGAGATCTGATACTTTACTTGAATATTCGAAATTATGTCTATTGAGATCTAATTAAATGTCTTAATGGAACATTTAATTAGATTTAGTTGGATCTCAATAGATAATCTCGAACTTTCAAGAAAAGGGTCAAATCTCTGAAGATCTGCTGAATTTTAAACTTGAATCTCGTGAGATATAATTAGATATTACACGATTGAAACATATATGAGATTTTTTAATTTTTTTCTGGGTAACAACTCATATCTCTGCCTCTTTGAACATTTGTCGTTTGGAAGAGGACGGGATGGACAAAAGGCGCAATAAATATCGCGATAGACTTTCTACACTTACACACTTTTGTATTTCATATATAGTTCCAAGTATCTTGCAGAATATCGGATAACCTATGTGTCACCGTTTCAACTAGTTTAACGAAATAATTCTGAATACGATTACTGTAAACGTATATCTATAGTTCATTATCTCTTATGTTCCCAACGTTATAAATGTGTTGACTTGCAGAATCAGAGTCCGTTGCACCAGTAAGAAAACGGGAGAGAAAAAAATCGCGAATATTCGTTCTAAACATAGAAGTTCAGAGAAAAGGGATTAATTTAATCATCGAACCAATCGCGACTTCAATTAACCATTCGTATTAATTTCAGTCGACGCTAAAACCCGGTTAGTCAAATTCTTTGCCCATGTTTCGGAAATATTCCGAAACAATATAATCATAAAATTATTCTAATATTTTCCAATATTAACCTAAATGTCTTAATAATATTGAAGCAAACGAGGTGTGTGTTAATCATAATTAAAAATGGTAAATATAATAGTGACTTAATTGACTGAGGGGAGGAGCGCCAGGCGCGAATGACCGGTTGGTGCAACTGGCCCTGGCTACGCACTAATCCTTAACGCTAAGAAAAAAGAAGACGAATCCGACGACGATCAGGGGATTGCGACTTTTCTTTCCACTTTTATTTTTCCCTTTGTTTCATTATAGCGAAAGCGAACGTGCGCGAACGAGGACACCGCCAGGAGACACGGTATGTACATATTTCTTCACAGTTGGGATACAGTTCGCAAGTCGGTGTCAATAAAACCATTCGGTGGCTGACCATATATTTACAACTGCCCTCTCATTGCGGATGTACCGAGTCGAACAATAATATATGAAATAAAAGCGAGCAAATTAGGATCGAGACTCTCACCGATCTAGAAAGTGCTCTCTTCGCCTCGAGAACGCCGTGAAACCAATTTTGCGGTATCGAGGTAAGCGAGATAAGATATGGCGGGATCAATAAGATACGTTATGCGTCAGGACGTTACAACTTTACGCGTTACTCCCGGGAAGAAGAAGAATAACTGTACAGTTGCGAAAAGAAAAAGCTTTGAAATGTACGTAATAAATATCTCGACGCGTTGATTCTTTCACACATTATTTTTTGTTGATATTTTTTCAATAATAAAATGCATGCCGAATCATTGAGCCCTTTTAATGTTTCTTATCTTTTTTTTAGGCTTTTAAACACTGTGATTTGGTGCCAATGAACATGTTCTTCAGTTTTAAATAGTTGTATACGTGTCTCCGCTAAACGATAGAATGTAAACCAGGAATCGCTGCTACCTTCCTATATTTAGGCACATGTAGACCACATATGCAGTTTCTATGTGTATAAATGTGTTAATAGGTGCACAAATTCATGTGGGAAGGCATCAGTGATTCCTACTAGTGTACTATAAGTGGGATATTAGCACTCCCCCAGGGAACCAAAGAGACAAAGGATGTAAGTGGAACTTATATGTTGTCATGAGAGGGTTAAATAATTAAAATAACTTCTCACATTCGCAGAATAAATGGTAAATGACTCGCCCGAATCATCGTTCGTCAAATCATCGGACAGAAAGAAAAGCGAGAGGAGTGCGACAGAAATTTCGACGTGATCTTGATGAGACTAGCGCGATCACATCGAGCTCTATTATCGAAGCGACTTAAGGAAAAGCGCGTGTATTTAAATGAAAGAAATGCAAGGATATTCCTCTGTAAAAGTGTCTTCCCACGATCGATCTGAGAGATTGTAATATCTATGTACGTTATTGGAATCTATAAATGCTTGTTGCTGTTAGTTTAACTCGCTGAGATTCCCGCCGGGTTCTGCGCAATTGCGAATTAATGTTACGATTATAAACGACAATGTCGAAGTCAAACTGCATCAGGATTTCATTTAGTGTTTAATAAAACAAATACTTTTAATCAATGCGCTTTCACATAAATTTGTGAAAATGGAAACTCAATAAGGTAATTACAAAAGTTAAAATTCTACAAGTTAATAAATTTTGTATAATATATAATATAAAAATTAATTTATAGAGCTCTTGTGCAATTATAACAATATTATAATTAAATTTCAATATATTTATAATGCATTAATAATACATTATAAATCTAAGTGTATTAATATGAGACGGGAAACTTATAGTCAACCCAACTGGTTAGTTATTTAATTAGTTTATTACACAACGTTTCGACCCTATTCTTTTGTTAGTATCACTCGAAAAGGACCCCAAAAGAATAGGGTTCGAAACGTTTGTAATAAACTAATTAAATAACTAGCCACACAGTTGGGTTGACTATAAGTTTTCCGTCCCAATTTTTAATCATTGGTGAAAATAAACAAATCTCCTTTCGTGTATTAATATGATTGCATAATATGTATGTATATTGTATATTATATATATTATATAATTATATTCCGTAATAATAAAAATAATAAGAATATGACTTTAAAATATACATATATTATATAATTTAAAAAATTTAATATTGTTGTGTTATATGTATAATAATATAGATTTTAAAGTAAATAAAGTTTGAAAGTGAATTAAATTCGATCCTTTTTATTCCTTTAACTGTGACGTGTATTAAATTTTCAAGAAATGAACGAAAAGTCTGTTACACACGGAATATGCTCGCACATATTCAGCTTTTTTTTTAGACGATCGGGGAGTACATTACGCAAATGAGAGGCTACTTTTTTCCAAGTGCATGCATGTTTCCTGTGTATTATGCAGCTAAAACGTGAAAATGATCTCGAGCTTTACTTTTGGTATTAAATGACTTGAACTTAATTCGCTTGCGAAGTCAATTTTAAAGATGCAAGTTTTTTATTTGATTTACAGTTGCAACGTTTTGAATCATTTTCTTTGAAACCGATCTCGAGTGGGTGGTATCAATAATGCGGTCCACTGCCGGAACGTTAGTATTGACGTCAACTAAACTAAACAGCGATTAAGTTTAATACCAAATATAAAAATTAATTACCAATCGTGCGAGAGACGTCAGGAATCTTACAGTGAGAGCATGATTTTTACTTGATGCAGCATCTTGGCCGGGCAAAAATAAAAAACGTCCTTCAACCCTCCATCTGCGAGAGTTTGTCCTCCAAGCTGTCCTGGCTGTCGTTAGTGTCGTTCAGATTGATCGTGTCGTTAGTCTGCGACAATTCAATGACGGATTCGCTCAGATTAGCGGTCGTCGATTTCCGCACCTCCAGCACGTCGTCTGACGTTTCAAAAATCGAAGCGGTCTCGGAGAGGTCCTGATTGTCCAGCGCAATAGTACTGGCGTCAGGCTGACCCTCCTCCTGTCCAATGATTACCTGCGAAGACTCGTCCATTTCGGCGTCCAGTTTGAGCTCTGTCTCCTGCACGACCTCAACCTCCATGGCCGTCTCCTCTTTAACGTTCTGCTCGTTCATCTGCATTAAGCCGTCCTGATCTGCCTGATCGTCTTTTATCGTCGAGTCGGTCTTCTGTTTCACGGATGCGTCCACGTCTGACGTTGCTGCGATGCCGGAGATTTGTGAGAGATTACTCAGGACCGTCTCCTGCATCTTCACCACGTTATCGGTAGTCTCAAAAATGCTGCACAACTCGCGACTCATTTCCTCCACCTCCGATGTATCGCTAGGCTTCACGATCATGTATCGCTTGTTCGAATACACCTTGTTGCTGGAGATTATCGAGCTCTTTTTCGGAGCTGGTGTGGTGCTTGATGTAGTGCTACTGCTGCCACTCATCGTCGTCTTCAGCGGGTTCTGGATCTCTTTTGTCACATTTTCCAACGTCTCCTCCGCGACAGGATTCTGCTCCTCCTTCACCATAACTTGCTCGGCCTCGTCCTTTTCCTCTTGGATCGGGTTACTCTTCTCCAGCGTCGTTTCCGTGTCGTCATTGTATTCCCGTTCCTCGTCGTATATGCTCTGTTTCCGTTTGACGAACACTCTCTTGAGCGGTAGCTGCTGTTCATCCTCGGACTCATCATGTCGCTCCGGCAGCATCTCGTCGATCGCCTCGTAGTCCTGCTGCGCTTTCCTCGCTTGCAGCTCCTCGATCTTCAGCCTCTGTTGCTCCACTCGCTTCTCTAACTGCTCCAGCTTCTCCTTGGTTACCTGATCCTGCCCCTGAGCGAGTTGTATCTTTTGCGGAGCGGCCGGGGCGTTCTTCGGCGTGCCATCACTGGACGACGCCGAGGTCTTCAGCTCGAATTTCTCGTTCAAAACAGCGTCCGCTGCTTTCGGACGCTGTTCCGTGGACTGCAGCACCGCCTGTACCACGTTCTGAGTGTTCTTGTCGAGCGACCGCTTCACCACCACTCGCTTCACCACATTGCCGGTTGGCAGTTTCGCCAGCTCCGCGGGATCTATCGTGGTGCCGTCCGGATTCATGATTACTTCACGGGTGGTGTCACCCTGACGAATAATTCTACGAACAATCACTCGCTTGACCTTATGCGAGCCGGGAGTGGCGCTCAAAGTGGTATCCCCGTCCTTGATAACGGGGTTACTGACTGTCGTTCCTTCGTTGCTGCCTCCTGCCGATTTTCTCAGCACAATTCTTTTAATCACTTTGACGGTGTTGACAGCCTTCGGAGTAGCTGCCGAGGTCTCCGCCTTGTCGTTGTCCTTCTGAGGTTCCTGGGAAGCGCTCTGTGATCTCGTCACAGGTGCCACCGTATCCTTAGACTGATCTTGGCCGGCGTTCGTCTGGTGCTTCAGCGGGATCTTGTGCTCCTTAAACACCGACGCGACGATCTTCTGCACCTGCGCTTCCGTGTCGTCCACACGGACGCTACTTTTGGAATTCTCCTCTGACTTAATCGGTGTGGCGGAGCCTTTCGAACTGCTCTGAGACGCGGCGGTTTGTCTCGTAACCTTCTGCTCTTGAACGTCGCGACGCTGGATAGGCATGAGCGTCTTAATGGTCTTCTTCAACATGTTACCATCTTTGCCACGCACGTATACCACCTTGCGTTCTTCCTTTTCTTGTTTCTCAGCTTTGTCCTCCTTGACGTCTTTGTCTTCTTCCTCCTCCTCCTCCTCGCTCTCCGAGGGCTTCGGTGGCTTCGGTAATTTCTTCACAATGTACGCCGGCGGCTCGTAGTCATCGTCCCCGTCAGAATACTGATCTTCCTCCTCTTCCTCCTCATCGGAATCCAGTTCGACGTTCTTCTTAGTGTCGGGTTGTAAGCCGTCCGGGCCCATTTTCTCACCCGCCTCGATATGCTGCTTGATGTGGGTGACATAATCGGCGCGATTGCGACAGGATTCTTGACAAACGTCGCAGGTAAGGCCCATCCCCGTCCGCTTCGTATGCGTCAACTGGTGCACCTCTAGGCTCTCCTTGCGTTTGAACGCCTTGCCGCAGTCCTCGCACACGTGGCGCTTCTCCACCGAGTGGGTGCGCATGTGTCTGGTCAAATGGTGCGACAGTAGGAACGTGCGCGGGCACAATTTACACATGTATGGTCGATGACCAGCGTGGGTAGATAGATGCCGGGCCAGCTTCGTGCTGGTGTGGAAGGCCTCCTTACAGTAGTCGCACACGAACGTTTTGTCCTCGTTATGCAGAATCTCGTGCCGTTCCAAACCCTGCTTGTATTGGAAGCGCTTGTTGCAGATGTTGCACTGGAACGGCTTATCCTTCTTGTGCGCGGAGTCCTCGTGCTTCTCCAGCTCTTCCGTGGTAAAGAACTCACGGTCGCAATGCTGGCAAGCATAGCGCGCCTCGTCCCTGTGTACCTTCTCGTGGCGTTGCAGCAGGTTCACCCGCGAGAATTGCTTCTGGCAGATCGTGCACGAAAACGGCTTCTCATCCGAATGCGTACTCATGTGCTTGCTCAAGTCGTATTTGGTGAAGAAGTGTCGCTCGCACTCGGTGCACTTGTAATTGCGATCGCGATGGGCGCGCTGAACGTGCAACACCAGAGCCTGACGCAAAGGAAACGTGCGGTCGCACTGATCGCATGCGTGCACTCTGATCTCTCCCGGTTCCAATTTCCTCTCCTCCTTAAGGTTGCTCACTTCCTGCTCACCCTCGCTGCCTCCGTCCTGCTCCTCCTCGTAAAGATGCTGATCGCTGGCCTGCTTTTCATTTTGTCGCTCTCTTTCTCTCTCCCGTTCTCTCGTCTCACGTCTGTTATCTCTGCTGTCGTTATCAGTGGTGCGTTGCTTCTTAGAGACCTCATTCTGCTGTCTCGCCTCGGCGGGTCTCTTGCTGCCAATCTCCGACGGTGGATCGTTGGGGATGGGCGGGAAGGGTCTCGGCAGCACTCCAGACAGGGGATAGTCCCTCAGCGCTTCGTCGGCCTTCTTGCATTGCAGCTTGAATTTGTAAGATCGGTCCAGATTCCAGCGGCACATGTTGCAGATCATCTGCGGCATTCCGTCCGCGGCGTACACCTGGCAAGATGCGGCGGAACGTTAGCGACGTGTTCACCAATTAACTATCAGGAAAGAGGAATCTCTTCGGCGCTGGACGTTCAGGAGTTCCGGGAGAGGATTTCGTTGGATTCAGAATTGTCGACTTCGCGAAACTTTCTAAAGTTACATATACTGCGAATATTTTGCGAAGTAAGACTTGTATATCAAAGTGATATACATGTATGATGCATTACGTACAAATGGAGCGTAAATGTATGTATTATTGCATGTAATTTGAAATTTTAACAGTTAAGTCGCTTTATTTGCAAAGAAATAACGAGACATGTATCCATGTGTCTAAATAAATTATATAATAGAAAAAAAGCAAGAATATAACGGAAAAATAGAGCATAAATAATACTGCTTTAATTAACATTGCATACACTATCGGAGGTGTTTAATGTGCTTGCGACTCGGGGTTTGCAAAATATATACATATTGTCAAAGATGTTGCGGTTCAAGGAAGCACCTTTGCTACTGACCACCTTGCCATCCCTGAGCGCGCGAAATTCTAGCCGCGTTATTCGAGATCTTTAAACTCTTCCCATTTGAAAACTATTGTAGCCTCGATATTTCCGTCTCAAAATGCTACAAAGTACTTATCATTAAAATATTTTTCGCCAGTTTAGGTACACCCTGTATAAAACTCGCGCGCGGTTCTAGCTACGCTTATATACTTGGCGCGAGACACCACCGTGTCTCGTGATAGCATAATAAAAATCTAGAGGCAAGATAAATTTGAAACTTAATGCAAGCGGATACACGTAAAAATGCACGAAAATGTGATAATTTAATCGAAACATTAAATATGTGCAAGAAGTCTCCTTGGATTTTCAAACGTTGAAATCATGATGTAAAATATATTAAATTTGCTATTAAACGCGATAAAATTCTGAAACGAACGCGCATAAATGCAAACGAGTTCCAATACCTTATCAACCAATCGATTTTACTTTACAAGACAGACTGGAATAGATTATTTTTTATTTAACCCGTTCATCCGTTTAAAATAAACCGTCGTTACGCGCCCGAGGATATCTCGGAGAAACTCCGAGGGGAAGAAATCCGGCGGGAAATGCAAACCGCCAAGCGAGCGCCATCTCCGCGCGAGCGCGGGAACCGCGACGCCGAGTCGGCCGGTAACGTCACCGGCTGCGTTATCATCGCCGCGGGGACGGCGCGCCAACTCGTTTTCCGCGACACAACAAAGCACCCCTCGACGATAGCACGCCCCTGCCCCTTCCGTCTCGAGCCTCCTAATGAAATGCGCGAACGGGTTGTCGATCTCGCGCGAGTGTTACCCGCGCGGGGAACTCGCTGCGGTGCCGCGAGCAGCGCCCCGGCGGTCGATGCCGCCGACGCGACGGTCCCCCGTCGAGGGTATCGTTAGCGGCGGGGCCACTCACCTCGATGGCGACGCAGGACATGATCTGCAACGCGAGCGGCACCTGGAACGGCTTATTGTGGTCGCGCTCGTAGATGAAGCTCAGCGGCTCAGAGTCCGACAAGCAGAATCGGCAGACGCGCCGCGAGCGCAGCGGCGCCGGCCTATTCTCCATGTTTCTGCCGGCGTTTCTTCGTCCACTTATCCTCTTCCTCCTCCTTCCTCCTTCTCTTCCGCTGCGGTAGCGTGTTCCAATTCACTCCTCGGCCCGCTCGCACGAACGCGCTCGGCAATCGCGCGCGACTAACTGCTGGCTACGCGCAAGCAACTTCTCGCCGCCCGACCACCGGAGACCCGAGTGAAATTCGCGGACAACTCGCGCGACTGCCACTTACGAGTTCACGACTCACTCGTTAGTTGCTCGCTCGCCCGCTCGCTTGGCTCGCTCGCTCACTCGCTCGGCGACGCCGAGCGTCGGTAAGCGTCGCGTAACGTTCAGCCTCTCTCACCGGGGAATAGCGGGTACGCCGCCACGGCGCTTTATAATGGCGGAAGAACGTGGAACAGGCTGGCCACGCGCGCGTTCGCCTCCGCTGCGTAGAGAAGACGCCGTGTTCGTCTTTGCACAGTGGCGCCGGGCAAACGTCGCTCGGATACGCGGCGCGAGTGAGCCACCCGGTCGGTAAGTGAGAACGCGCTTGCCGACGGTCGGCGCGATCTGAGTGCGGCTCTTCGCGAAGAGATGGCGCGTCTATTCTCGTTGGAGGCTCCGGGGGTGTCGGGCTTTATATTTTTTGCTTCTTGCGCGCTTTTCGAGACACTTGATTATTGCATAAAACAATATTTTTGTATACGCATTTAAAAAACAATTAGTTGGCCCGCAACAAATTAATTGAAACGTGCAATTTGAAAAACAAATGTTTCTATTTTAAATGTAGAAGCCAGTTTTATTTTTATGGAATAATAACGTTATTATTCCATAAAATTTATAGAATAAATTTAATCGTCCCGTTTTGCTAATTTTATATTAAATTTACACGTGGAAAAATTATTACGTATCGGATATAATTGTAATGGATATTGCTTAAAAAATTTCCACTAAAAATATGTGAGTTAGAACAAGGCTTTCCATCTATTTTCTTTCTTTCTTAAAAATCGATTTCAAAATACAGATCGATTATCAAGATTAAACTTCTTACGACTTAACTTCACACGCGTGTCTGTTTATGACAGGTCTTTTTTTTTTTAAGAAAGGTGCATTTTAATTTTGACCATGTACATGTTTAGATTTTGAAAACGTCACTGTTTCTAAGCAATTTTACCCGCACGCTGAGAAATGTGGCGATTTTTGCATAAAGCGCAACAGCAACGCAATCGCGACCTCGACGCCCTTCGTCGGGACATCGACACGGATGTACATGTTAAATCGCCGGCGGATTTACTACAAAGTCTACAGGTGGATCTTGAACAGGGTTTATCTACGATCGTTGCGAAAAGTCGCCTACGAGATCAGGGACTGAATGCATTGACTCCGCTGAAAAGAACTTTGGAGATTCAAAAGATCTTGCATCGATTCTGCGGAGGCTTTTCCTCACTAATATGGGTAACAATAATTTTCCAACGATTTAATTTTTACGATTGAGCTTTACGATTAAATTTTTACGATTTGATCTTTTGCAAACGTGTTTTGGAAACAATATTAAATTAAAATAGACAAAGAGAGGAAGAGCAGAGAGAAAAAAGAATATACATACCCAAGGAAAATGAAAAGTCAAGATGATGTCAATTTGATGTCATATTTTTTTTGACCAAATTTATGTCATATTTTGATCAATAAATATGACATCAAATTGATGTCATCTTGACTTTTCATTTTTCCTTGGCTATACCATTTCTCTAATAATTCTTCCTGAGTTTAAAGTCACAAAAATGTATTATTATTTAATTGTGATAAACAATTGTTTATTAATTTTTTAATCTGTTTGTAATTTTATGTAGAAGCAAATCAAATTAGAAGTTCATAATTTAACTACTTCAAATATTGAATTTTTTAAACTTCGACATTTAATTACCAATCAATTCTTTCTAAGATAGTGTTATTTGGAAGCTGACAGTTATTTTTATTGATAAAGCAACTAATTTTCTTAAACTGTCTATATAAAAGTTGCGAGTATTTTAACTTAAAATTAAAGTTAAAAATTAATGATAGAATAAATAGAGAAGAGGTAAGTCTATAAAATAGGTATCTAATTATTTTAATAAAAAGATTTCTGTCGAGAAAGTGTTTCTGGAAAGCCCATTAATTATTTACTTCCAGGTGGGTGCCATTTTGTGTTTTGGCAACTACTTCTTGCAATTGGGGACCTATGGCGAAGCTACCGAGGATCACCTCTGGCTTGGTCTAGTCCTGATTGTGCTAATCATAGTTACCGGTGCGTTCAGTTACTACCAAGACTCCAAGAGCTCGCGCATCATGGAATCGTTCCAGCAGATGGTACCGCAACGTGCCAAGGTTCTGCGGGACGGCGAGAGAAAGGAGTTGCTGGCGACCGAGCTGGTGGTTGGGGACATCGTCCTGCTGGAGACCGGCGACCGGGTGCCCGCTGACATTAGGATCCTGGAATGTCAAGGTGAAGTGTGTCCTGCCACCGCATCACGCGTGGACTTCTTGTTTCTCTTAGACGGAATAAAAGAACAAGCCTTTCTCCTCAAAGCGCGGACTCGCGCTCACCACTGAAATCCGTGACTATTTCTCGCTCTGTTCGGTCTTTCATCGAAAGAAAGTCTAGAGAAGAATTATTCGGGAAGATATAAACAGGAGATTATAAATCGCCAAAAAGAGATTAAAAAAGGCACAAAATTTTTAACTATTATCAATCAGTTTTATCTTT